CAAGCACACTATACCTCTCTCATGACAAAGGTTTTACATTATAGTTGTTACTGTTAAATTAATGTTATTGTAATCAAATCAATAATAATAAAGCGGAGGAAAGTAACTTAGAGAGGAAAATAACAGAGCCAAATGAGAGACGAGAAAGAGGAGTTACTGATAATAAATAATAATATTACTTAAATACAATTGAACTGGATGTGTTAGTTAATGCAGCTGCTACGGTAACAACTTTTTCAATTGTTGCTACATTTGTATCTGAAGGGCGTTTCACTAAAGTGATCGGAAGTACTCCATGTAAAATTATATATTTGTTACGTAATAACCCAATTACTCTTTTGACATGAATTCGTAGCCGTGCCAGTTGTCTGGTTTTCTCAACTTCAGCCATTGATAGTTGTTTCTTGCCTCTTGTAAAGGCTGGAATTTCCAAATAAGCTCCTCGAATAGCCAAGTCATCTGCAATATTGAAACCTCAATCAGCCATTACTACATCGCCATACGATATCTTATCTAAAAATCCTGACTTCTGAGTTATGACCTTGTCCAAAACCCTTCCACCCCATACATTTAATATAAATGTTATAGAACCAGTTGGTGCTATGGAGATCAAAACTTTAAGAGTGTTATGTTTCTTGTACTGGCTGTATGTACAAGACCTTGATTCTAATGATAGCGATTCTTCTATGAAAATTTCGAAACAATCAATAATCGATATGACATTGAAGTAGTGCTTCTTGAACTGAATTGGAAGTGTTTCATACAGCTTCTCTCCATCAGGCCACACAATGAGTTGTCGTAATTCACGATACATTATGTCTAGCCATTTATGGAAAATCTTGGAAACATTAGACTCAGATATGTTACTACGGCAAGTAATATCCTTGTAGAGCAACCCTAGCCTTAGTTTCGACAGCGTTATAAAAAATTCATCCTTTATAGACCAGAGAGGTGGTCTCTTTTTACTGATTCTTTTTTCCATAAATGGTTTTAATAACTTAAACAGTGTTTGAAAAAGGCTGTATGATGTCAGACCTGTATAAAATTGGGTCTTTTCATCGTTATCAAGAATCAATTCAGCACCGAACTTTGTTGTCTTAGCTGTGCTCAAGGAAACAAGCAGAGATGCAGCATGTTGAGTGGAACAGGCATAATAGGCATTTTGAATGGCCCCCGTGTATTGCGAACATGAATGAAGTTGTCTCTTCAACGATTCATTCTCCGTCTTCAAATCAGCTACATGTACATCCCTCAACAAAAATTCATTATGTGCCTGCAGTTCACATACTTCATACGATAAATCTTTAACGATTCTAAATACAGCTGGGTCATCAGAAATTTCATGTTCCTCCACTGTTTCCTGTATATTGTGTCCTTGAAACGGTTCTTCATCTGTTATTCCCAAATCAAAGTCATTTTCAGCAATATCATCATCCTCT